ATTATTGTTGTTATGTCTATTGCGCAATAGACATTCATATTTGACATTTTATTAATAAAACGAAAACAGTCTAATCTATCAAAATTCATTTATCTTTATTCCCATTTTTCCCTTAAACACAAAGATTGAAATGAATAGACATTACTAAAGAGTAAAAACACATAATTGTTTCGATGAGTAAGTTATTCAAACTAGATGAGGAATTTTACTTCATTCATTCATATGGGTTCGAATCCCATCACGGTCACCAAATTTGCTATATTTGAAGAGATTAAAAGTTCAACTAATCTGAGAACGGAATGAAAACTCAGTGACACGTTGATCAATAACCTAGCTATTCCTATGCGTCTCAGCCCCGCTAACTAGAGAGAGAAGTTAGAGTTCAAAAGAGGGAAATATATTCCACAACATAAAAATGTCGTTGGGAAACACTACATAATAATATACCAAAAGAGATAACGAGTCAATAGCATCTATGGTCCTCCTAAGTGGGAAATACGATATGAAGTTGAAAATAAGGCATTTGTCAAGTGAGTTCTAGGAATCTAACATCTCCAACATTCATGTTCACTTCAATAATTTAGGCAATTTACTCATTGCTTTTGTGTAATTAAACCATGAAACATTGTCACTTATATAAATGAAATAAGATTTACTGTTGGAGAGATTTTATACACATCATTTCATCAACAACAAACAAAAGATCACAGGAGAATAATTTGTAGTAGTAGTAGTAGTGCGACTAATTAATTAAAATATTCTATTCATTTCAATCGTTAGGGATTCGCTTATTTTGTTGTTCATATAAATATATAGTTACATAATATACCCTTGTGGGTCAAAGTGATTTTACAACGGTTTTCAAGAGAACCAGACAGCACCTAGACTTTCACGTGACAACCCAAACAGCACGGCTCAATCCCGTTTAACAGGATAACAAGACGCTATTCAGGCTTAAATTTTATAACCTGAGAGGTACAGCTCAGTCAACCTTCACAGGAGAACTAGACACCATATAGGCTTTAAAGCTGCAATCTGAATAGTACAGCTCAATCCTGTGGCGTAAACATACAGGTGCCAAGCATCCTAGTGGACCATTCTCACCATTCATAAACACATTCACGTCACATGTATAGTTATTCCGATCAATGATCTCGTGAATCGATTATGCACAGGGCGAACAACGCAAAGTTGACCTATTCCGCTTACACGACAGTCAAACTCATTAATATTAGCAATGACGACAAGCCTTACAATGTCCCAATGACAATGGCTTTTGAGAACACTGAAAATCAACCACCAGTATGAATGAAATCGGTTAACCAGCAAACCAATTTTGTGCATATATACATATATATGAATATACAAGCTATTAATCTTATAAATCTGTTTTAAAGTACTTATTGTTCATTCCATCAGTCATAACTCATGAATCTCATCTAGTTTTGATCGACCGTAACTGCTAAAAAGTAAATTGATGAGATTAAATTCAACACGTATATTAAACATTCTAATAGGTCGCCTAATTCATAAAGGGTGCATGTGGATACAATCAACAAAATGTTTAACAAATAATCTTATATGTGATACACAACAGTGACAATTGTTCATTGGACTATATTTCAGGAACAAGTTATTTTGCTTATTACTTAATCAGTATACCAATTTCCTCTAACGGATAAACAAGGGTCTAATTCTTATTTAATGCTTTGTAAAACAACGTTAAATCTTTTTCTGTATAGGTTAACATAAAACAATAAACTGAATGAAACACACTAGGGAGAACAGGTGTTGAGTTGGCTTTGTCTTTCAAAAAATTGCCAACTAAAACTAGTTCTTTAGAAGCCCCTCTCCGATTTCACCGCTAATCATCAATCATAAGTAGCTTTAGAAAAACTTCTTAAAATTCTGATGAAAAACTGTGGCCAGTGAGCACCATGTAAATGAAGAATGAAATGAGTATCGTTTGTGAATAGACACTGTGGAATTACATTTTGAATAATTGAAGTTAGACAAATAAATTGCCTATAGTTTGTTTAGTAATTCAAAAGTTTCATAGAGCCCCAGTAATATCTACCGTCAAGGATAATACTATCCTCAGTCTCATAGTTTCTAATCATTTATCAACGAACTCAGGTTTGTTAGTAACATTACTGTTAAATTAGGCGGTAATAGATGACTTTCATATTAGCTGTTTAATGAGTAATGTCAATGGGAAATTGTCATCCAAACAGTTGTATCAAGTGGCCCATATCTTTTGTTTTATAAGATGATAGTAAAAGCCTATTCGATAGTATATTGAGGTCCTGCATTCAATTTGTAGTCTGATTATAAATGTAAAATTTTTTACGGTAGTCTTAAAATCAGATAAAAATGTTATTCAATTACATGTATTGACATTGCAATGGATTTAAGTTGAAGACAATAGAATATCTTCGTGAACGTTTAATCACCAAAATGTTAAATGTCGATTATTTGAATTAAATTGCCACTAAATTGTCATTTCATAAGTCTTACTTACTACTTACTTACGCCTGTTACTCCTCGTGAAGGAGCATAGGCCACTCACCAGCATTCTCCATCCAACCCTGTCCTGGGCAATCCTTTCTAGCTCCGTCCAGTTGTAATTCATCCTTTTCATATCTGCTTCTATTATCCGACGCAATGTGTTTTTTGGCCTTCCTCTTTTTCGCTTCCCTTCAGGGTTCCAAGTTAGGGCTTGCCTCGTGATGCAGTTTGACGATTTGCGTAATGTATGTCCTATCCATTTCCATCGTCTTTTCCTAATTTCCTCTTCAGCTGGAAGTTGGTTTGTTCTCTCCCACAGAAGGCTATTGCTGATGGTATCCGGCTAGCGGATGTTGAGTATCTTGCGTAGGCAGCTATTTATAAATACTTGTACTTTCTTGATTGTGGTTGTTGTAGTTCTCCAAGTTTCAGCTCCATACAGTAGAACTGCCTTGACGTTCGTATTGAAGATTCTCACTTTGATATTGGTTGAAAGTTGTTTTGAGTTCCATATGTTCTTCAATTGTAGGAATGCGACCCTTGCTTTGCCGATCCTCGCCTTTACGTCTGCATCTGAACCTCCTTGTTCATCGATGATGCTTCCTAGGTATGTGAAGGACTCTACATCTTCCAGAGTTTCGCCATCAAGAGTGATTGGATTGCTGTTCTCTGCTTTGAATTTGAGGACCTTGGTTTTCCCTTTGTGTATGCTGAGGCCTACTGATGCAGAGACTGCTGCTACACTGGCTGTCTTCATCTGCATCTGTTCGTGTGTACGTGATAGGAGGGCTAGGTCGTCTGCGAAGTCCAAATCGTCTAATTGATTCTGAGCTGTCCATTGTATTCCGTGTTTTCCTTCAGATGTTGAGGTCTTCATAATCCAGTCGACCACCAGAAGAAAGAGGAAGGGAGAGAGTAAACAGCCTTGTCTGACTCCAGTCCTTACTTGGAATGCATCTGTCAGCTGTCCTCCATGCACTACTTTGCACTGTAGTCCGTCGTATGAGTTCCGGATAATATTGACAATCTTCTGAGGAACTCCGTAGTGTCGAAGAAGTTTCCATAATGTCCTCCTATCTACACTGTCGAATGCCTTTTCATAATCAATGAAGTTGATGTATAGTGATGAGTTCCACTCAACTGATTGTTCGACGATGATCCGTAGTGTTGCAATTTGGTCTGTGCACGACCGATCCTTACGGAATCCAGCTTGTTGATCTCGAAGTTGGGCGTCTACTGCATCCTTCATCCGGTTCAGCAACACTCTGTTGAAGACTTTCCCTGGTATTGACAGTAGTGTAATGCCTCTGTAGTTTTCACATTTGCTCAGATCTCCTTTCTTTGGAATCTTGACGAGGTGTCCTTCTTTCCAGTCCATCGGCACTTGTTCCTCCTCCCAAATATTTTTGAATAGAAGATAAGCATGCTTGTGGTTGCTTCGATGTCTGATTTCAGTGCTTCAGCTGGTATGTTGTCGGGTCCTGCTGCTTTCCCGTTCTTGATTTGTCTGACGGCCATTCTAATTTCTTCCGTCGTTGGTGGGTTGACATCTATAGGAAGATCTATGTGTGCTGCTTCGATGTCCGGTGGATTCATTGGAGCCGGCCTATTCAGGAGTTCCTCGAAGTATTCCACCCATCTGTTCCGCTGTTGTTGAATTTCGGTGATTGGCTTGCCTTCTTTGTCTTTGACCGGCCTCTCTGGTTTACTGTATTTCCCTGCTAGTTTCTTCGTTGTATCGTGAAGCTGTTTCATATTTCCTTCTCTAGCAGCTTTTTCTGCCGTCGTTGCTAGTTCTTCCACGTATTTCTTCTTGTCGGCTCTAATGCTCCTCTTCACTTGTTTGTTTGCTTCTATGTATTCAGCTTGTGCTTGGACTTTCTCTGCTCGTGTTTGGCTGTTGTTATAGTCTGTTACTGTCATGTTTCTTCAGGGGATATCAACCGAAAACTTACCATGTAAACATCAAATATTCGAATATATATAAACAGTTGCTAAATAAATGTCATTAAACAATGAAGAAAATAATCCATAGTTAATACATTAGTTGGAATTTATCAATCATTCAACCGTATACAGTAATAGCTTTAAGTCCCGTAAATGTGAGGACGGTTCATAGATGAATCCGAGGAAGCTCTAAGCAGCTCAGAAAGAACCGAAGAATATTCCAGAATCCCTACATGTATCTCCTTTATCAGACAAATTCTAAAAACCCTGTGTATGCGGATTGGAGGACTATATTAATGATTTCATTTTTACTCATAAACTATAAATAGCTGACATTTCTGTATCATAAAATGACACTGTTTAGAATAATATTCTTTTCACTTGTTTTCTATCATCTCATTTACGACTTGAAAAGGGTTCTAGCATTCGAGTTCTGAAGTTATACATGGTATTAATAAGAAGAAACTAAGCTCTAGTATGATATAACACTTGACAATAAAGATAACTTATCAAAGATTCATCATCATATAATAATCATAACTTACTATAATATTGTTCTGATGATGATGATGATGATGATGATGACGATGACGATGATCTTTTTAAACGATTAATTGGTGTATATATTCCACGTATAGAACAAACACGTTTAAGATTTTTTAAAAATTCATTACCACACATACGTATTGGATAATCCATTATAGTTATATAATTTGTATTTAATGATAATACACTTTGTGTTGTATTATTCAAATGAATTTCAATGGATTTTTCAATGAGAAATAAATGTAAAAAGAAAATGATCAAGATAAAATAAAATAATTTTTTCATTTTTTTTTCTTTTTGTTGTTGTTAGTTGTTGTTGTTAGTTGTTCGTTGTTTTATATTTGAATATAGAATTGATTTTCTTTAAACATATGACAATATTAAAAGAAAGAATAGACACTAATTAACATTTAAAATATTCAATAGGTATATTATGAAATGTACTTTGTAGTTTGTTTGAAAATGAATATTCAGATCTTGATCCAGATCCAGATCCTGATCCAAATCTAGATCCATATATATATATGGTGATTTATGTATGATTGTCTAGATCACCGTCTTTAAAAATAAACTATTATTTTAAAGTGCGCAATTCATTTTAAACCAATCAGAATTTCACTTTCAATTATTCACCTTAAAAGAGAAAAACAAAAGTATCATAGAATATCATTAAAAGTCTATGTATTTGTACATATATCTATATATATATGTCTGCTGTATATTCAAAACTCATTAGTCGTATGATATAAACCAACTTTTTTTTAAAAAAAAGTTCATTTAGTACATAAAGTACTTTCTCTATTCATTTATGTATCATTTATCTTTGAACTAAATAAGTAACTAAATGATCAGTTCAGCAATTGAAATGAAAGATACATGATTCAATTCATAATATAAATAGGTCAACATTAGGTGATGTGTATATTCAGTTGACGAAAGGAGAATCTTTGATTCTATTACTAATCACTATCAACATTTGTTTTAACTATGTAGCCTTTGAAAAGATTAAATATCTGAACAAAGATAATTTCTCTTCAGATTCTACAATATATATATCCAAATTAATAATCTAAAAAGTGATCAGGTTAAGGTCAAAGTACATCGTTTATAGTTACTGCATATGAAGCACTCGAGCTCGAAACTGATAGGTCCTATGTTCGAATCCCGTGGCATGGGATCGTGGATGTGAACTGCTGAAGAGTCCCACAGTGAGACGAAACGACCATTCAGTGCTTCCAGGTTTGCCATAGTGTTCTAGCTTCAATCAACTCATGTACTCAATTATTAACTTACTATAATATCTATAAAAACCCTTTCTCAAATTAGAATTGTCATACAGAATACAATAAAATTGTTAATGTTGATATGACTCATATATAGAATGTTAACTTGAATCAGTTTATATGTTAAGCGGAAATTTAAGATCCATGATAAGAACAAATATAGGTTAGATAGGGTGAGTGAAATAATAGTGCAATTACATTTAAATCAAACGTTTAATGAAAGACTACATTGTGTGAAAAATTACTAGTAAGACATAATAAGTTGGGATGAATGAGAAGTAAATGGATCAAGTATTGGGAAGATTAATAATGATGTTTAACAAACAGTGAAAATAATAATAATATAAAGATTTGCGAAGAAAAATAGCCGAGAAAATTACATTTGATTACGAAAAGTCGTAAGTACAATAGTCGACTTACGTCATTCGATAGCTAAGATTACTATTGATTAATTGGCCTTGAGGTTGTTCAAGTGAGGATAAGAGGTTGAAGATACTTCTTTTGTACTCATAGCTCCGATTTTTTCATCCGGATAGCTACTGCTTCAGCCGTTTGAAAGACTTTAAATTTGACAAGCTTTGGAGAAAATTTAATGACCCGATAAATAATTGAAAAGGATTGGTTTATACTGGTACTATGAGCAGATTTCACTAAATGGGCTAATATCGAACTGTTCACATTCTTCACCGGACCTTTGCTTAGCCACGCTGGGAAGTGTTCGCGAGCACAAAATGTAAATTCCTAGGACTTCGACCAATATAACTTACTCCACAGGAGCAGTCGAACTGACAAATATAAATTGAGGTGGTCATTCTAGGTAATTCATCTTTTAGTCTCGGTGTTACCATTGGGCAACTCCGCCTAGAGTCCCTCCGGGGGCTACTGCCGGTCCCAAGCCCGGATAAAGGAGGGTTGGGCATGGGGTTAGCGTCCCCATCCCGTAGAAAACTAACTCGCTAAAAAAACGCTAACCAGAAAAAATTATTCAAACCTTTTAAACTCTGCCCTGGGAGTCAGAAGGTCTTCATTTAGAAGAATTATGACGCCTCATGATGAAAGCCGAATTCCTTCGGAAGTTACGAGGCCGATGCCCCTTCTGACAACCAGAGCAACCATTTATTTAGGTACATGGAATGTTCGTACAATGTGGGACACCGGAAGAGCCTTCCAAATTGCTGCAGAAATGAGAAGATACAACCTAGAGGTACTTGGGATCAGTGAAACACATTGGACACAAGTTGGACAACAACGACTAACTACAGGAGAGCTCCTGTTATACTCCGGCCATGAAGATGAAAATGCACCACATACACAAGGAGTTGCATTGATGCTGTCCAAACAAGCGCAAAATGCGCTTATAGGATGGGAATCTCATGGACCAAGGATCATCAAAGCCTCGTTCAAAACAAAGAAAGAGGGTATTTCAATGAACATCATCCAATGCTATGCGCCTACCAACGACTACAATGAAGACGCTAAAGATCAATTCTACAATAGGCTGCAGTCAATCGTCGAGAAGTGCCCAACAAAGGACCTGACTATTCTGATGGGAGATTTCAACGCCAAGGTTGGAACGGACAACACTGGATATGAAGACATCATGGGACGACACGGACTGGGAGAAAGAAACGAAAATGGTGAGAGATTTGCAAATCTATGTGCCTTCAATAAACTGGTCATAGGCGGCACCATATTCCCACATAAACGCATACACAAAACCACATGGACTTCACCGGATCACACACACAAAACCAAATCGACCATATTTGCATCAACAAAACGTTCAGGAGGACTATAGAGGACGTGAGAACCAAGAGAGGAGCTGATATAGCATCAGATCATCACTTGCTGGTCGCCAAGATGAAATTGAAACTCAAGAAGCACTGGACAACGGGGCGGACAATATCACAAAAGTTCAATACGGCCTTTCTTCAGGATACTAACAAACTCAACAAATTCAAGATAGTCCTCAGCAACAAGTTCCAGGCCTTTCATGATCTACTCAATGGAGAAGGAACTACTGTGGAGAGCAACTGGAAGGGGATCAAAGAGGCAATCACTTCAACATGTCATGAGGTCCTGGGTCACAAGAAGCACCATCACAAGGAATGGATCACTGTTGATACACTGGATAAGATTCAAGAAAGGAGGAACAAGAAGGCAGCAATCAATACCAGTCGAACAAGAGCAGAAAAAGCCAAGGCACAAGCTGAATACACAGAAGTAAACAAACAAGTGAAGAGGAGCATCAGAACCGACAAACGTAAATATGTGGAAGATTTAGCAACGACGGCGGAAAAGGCTGCAAGAGAAGGAAACATGAGACAACTGTATGACACGACAAAGAAACTCTCTGGAAATCGCCGCAAACCAGAACGACCAGTGAAAAGCAAGGAAGGCGAGGTAATCACCAACATTGAAGAGCAACAAAACAGGTGGGTAGAACACTTCAAAGAACTCTTGAATCGACCAGCTCCACTGAACCCACCCAACATCGAAGCAGCACCCACGGACCTCCCAATCAATGTTGGCCCACCAACAATTGAAGAAATCAGCATGGCCATCAGACAAATCAAGAGTGGCAAAGCAGCAGGACCGGACAACATCCAGCAGAGGCACTAAAAGCAGACGTAGCGGCAACTGCAAGGATACTCCACATTCTCTTCAATAAGATTTGGGATGAGGAACAAGTACCAACAGACTGGAAAGAAGGACTTCTGATCAAAATACCGAAGAAAGGCGATCTCAGCAACTGTGATAACTACAGGGGCATCACTCTTCTCTCAATACCGGGAAAAGTCTTCAACAGGGTATTGTTAAACAGGATGAAGGACTGCGTAGACGCCCAACTTCGTGACCAACAGGCAGGATTCCGTAAGGATAGATCGTGTACAGACCAAATCGCAACTCTACGGATCATTGTGGAACAATCAATTGAATGGAATTCATCACTCTACATCAACTTCATTGACTACGAAAAGGCATTTGATAGCGTGGACAGAACAACACTATGGAAACTTCTTCGACACTACGGCGTGCCTCAGAAGATAGTCAATATCATACAGAATTCCTATGATGGATTACACTGCAAAATCGTGCATGGAGGACAGTTGACAAAGTCGTTCGAAGTGAAGACCGGTGTCAGGCAAGGTTGCTTACTCTCACCCTTTCTCTTTCTCCTGGTGATCGACTGGATCATGAAGACGTCAACGTCTGAAGGGAAGCGCGGGATACAATGGACATCTAGGATGCAGTTGGATGATCTAGACTTCGCAGATGATCTGGCCCTTCTATCCCAAACGCAACAACAGATGCAGGAGAAGACAAACAGTGTGGCAGCAGCCTCAGCAGCAGTAGGTCTCAATATACACAAAGGGAAAAGCAGGATTCTCCGATACAACACAGAATGCACCAATCCAATCACAATTGACGGAGAAGATTTGGAAGATGTAAAAACCTTTACGTATTTGGGCAGCATCATTGATGAACAGGGTGGATCTGATGCAGATGTGAAGGCGCGGATCGGCAAAGCAAGAGCAGCATATTTACAACTGAGGAACATCTGGAACTCAAAGCAACTGTCAACCAACACCAAGGTCAGGATTTTCAATACAAATGTCAAGACAGTTCTACTGTATGGGGCAGAAACCTGGAGAACTACGAAAGCCATCATCCAGAAAATACAGGTGTTTATTAACAGTTGTCTACGCAAAATACTTCAGATCCGTTGGCCGGACACTATTAGCAACAACGTACTGTGGGAGAGAACAAACCAGATCCCAGCGGAGGAAGAAATCAGGAAGAAGCGCTGGAAGTGGATAGGACACACATTGAGGAAAGCACCCAACTGCGTCACAAGACAAGCCCTCA